TCTGTGGCCTGGTCACTGACGTGGACCTCGATGGACAGCCAGAAGTCCTGGTGGCCACCTATGGACAGGTGGGTCTTGAGATGAGCCTGTCACTCATCTGTGATCCTACAGTGACCCTCCTTGGCCTGTGTGACCTTGACCCCTCTGCCCACAGGAGCTGCTCTGCTATAAGTACCACGAGCTGCCTGAGGCCAGCAGAGGCTTCCGCCTATTGTGGCGTAGGACCTTCGCCAGCCCTCTGCTGGCAATGGCCCATGTGGACCTGACTGGGGATGGGCTTCGGGAGCTGGCTGTGGTATCCCTGAAAGGGGTGCACATCCTCCAGGTACCACTCTTTATTTGTTTATTTGTAGGGGAAAAGCTCTTTCACCGAGCCACGCCCCCAGCTCCTCACTGGGGGATTCTAGGCAGGGGCTCTACCGCCGAGCCACACCCCCAGCCCCTCACTGGGGGATTCTAGGCAGGGGCTCTACCACTGAGCCACGCCCCCAGCCCCTCACTGGGGGATTCTAGGCAGGGGCTCTACCGCCGAGCCACACCCCCAGCCCCTCACTGGGGGATTCTAGGCAGGGGCTCCACCACTGAGCCACACCCCAGCCCTTCACTGGGGGATTCTAGGCAGGGGCTCTACCACCGAGCCACGCCCCCAGCCCCTCACTGGGGAATTCTCAGCAGATGTTCTTGTTGAGCCGTACCCCCAACTCTTGGTTTTTGAGACAGACTGTCACTCTAGCCCTGCCTCAGCCCCAGGAGTAGCTGGGACTACAGGCCCTTGCCATCTGGCCGTGCACATGCCGTATTCTTACTTTCACCTGAGGCCCATGGTCTCCAGGCATTTCTTCCAAATTCTGTTGGTCATTCTCGTGTTGTCTACCCCATCCCTAGAGCTAGCCATCAGGCTGGTCTTGATCTACTTCAATGTATTTGATGTCTCTGTTTGGATGCAGCCTACCCTTTCCCACCTTAGCCTGCTTTCCCTTCCCATCTTCCCTTGATAATGTGGTCTAACCACAGCTCACTGGTAAGTTTCTGACTTCTTCATTACACTTTGTGTGTGTGTGTGTGTGTGTGTAGGCCAAGGAGGATTTCAGGGGTGTGTGTCTGTCTGTCTGTGTGTGTAAGGCCACAGAGGATTTCAGGTGTCCTGCTCTATCATCTCCATCTCGCTGCCTTGAGGTGGAGTGTCTTACTGGGCCTTGAGCTTGCAGCTCACAAGCCGCAGGGCAGCCTCTCTGAGGCCTCACCTCAACCCCTGCTGCTTTCCACTTCTATGTGGTCCTTGATCTGTTGACCTCTCGTTTGCTGCCAGGACCTCACCTTGGTCCTTCCCACTGTGGTCTAACCTCAACTTCTCTCTAACAGTTGAACCTCAAATTTCCTTAATGTCATTTAGCACCATCTGTCCATTGCACAGGTTACTTTTGTATTTTTTCTTTCTCTCTTCCCACTTATTCATGTGTGTGGCACTTGGTATCAAACCCTGTGTGCTGTGCCCACCCAGCTTGTGGGGGCTGGGAAAGTGAGTTATACTGTGTAGCCAAGGCTGTCCCAAAATGCACAAGTCCTCTTGCTTTGGCCCCTCTCACACTGGCTTCCAACCTCAGCTCTTTGCATTTAGGGCCTGAGCTTTGCCCCGCCCACAGGGAATTGGCCCGAGCCCCTCCTGCTGAGTCTGACCTCCACTCCTACCGGGGAGGGGAGGCCCATTTTCACCCAACACCCTGGGGTCTGCTGTCCGCCCGCCCTCCCACTGGGGCTGAGCCCCTGCCCACAGAAGGGTCTAGCATGCCCTCTACTGTCCCCGCTTACCCTCCCTTTTTGTCCCCCCAGCACAGCCTGATCCAGGCCTCTGAGCTGGCCTTGACCCGGCTTCGTCGTCAAGTGGAGCAGAGGAAACACGAGCAGGGCCTCGGGGACAGAGCGGGTCCCAGGCCTGAGGAGCCCCCAGCCTCCTGAGCACTCCCTCTTCTCCAGCCTGGGCGTCTCTGTCCGACAGTGATGTGGGGGAAGCGTCTGAGAAAAGCAGCACTCCCCCCCCCGTCCCCCGCCCCCCCCCCCGCACTCGGGGATGCTGGAAGCCCCTGACTCACCCTGGTGTGCTGTGCAACCCTAGCCGATCGATCGCCCCTCCGAGCCACTGGGAAAGGGATGTTCTCAGCGTGACCCCCTGCAGTCCCATCAGGTGTTGGTCCCCTGAAGACTATTTATACATGCAGAGCAACAAAGCTGTCCTAGCTTCTGTCTTCATTTCCTGTGCCTGGCAAGCATCTATTGAGCACTTACTGTATGCCAAGTTCTGCTGAATTCACCCCCAAAGAACTGAGGAGGGTAACTCCACAGTGAGAGTCCAAGATTAGACCCAGAGGGAAGGAAGGAAGTTGCGATGGAGGGGGGATGGTTGGCTTGCATTTTTGAGAGCCATGGAGCCTTTCTCTGTACTGGTGAGCTAAACCCAGGTAGTGTGGTGCCAGGCCGATGCTGCTGAGGCCACCCTGAGCCAGAGGCTTCTGGGCTCATTGTCTCCACCTAGGATGAAGCACAGATGGCCCATCAACAGTCAAGGGAGTGAGAACTCTGACCAGGGCACTTCTGACTCTGGTGAATCTCCTGGGAAACCCACGGAGACTGAGGGAATCTTCGGGGATTTGGGTTGCTTTTTAGCATCTCCGGTTTAGCAGTAAGGGGTCTGCAGACTCCCTCAGCCCAGAGGTAGAAGTGATGGTGTTACTGGTCCCAACTGGAACAGGTAGTCTTGGGGTGGGGGTGGGGGTGATTAGACGGGGCTAGCTCCTAGCAGAACATACTTGAGCGTAGATTCTGGTGGGGATGGGGTGCCAAAGTTAGGCCAAGGCAGACAGGTCACAAGAGATATACCATGCTGAAGTGGCTATTGGGTACAGCTCACTTAAACAGCCCAGGAGGGGTGAGACAGGCAGTTACCACCCCATGATTCCCTCAGAGCCTCCTGCCCAAGACCCAGAGGAAGGTAGCCAAGCTGGGCCTTCCCAGCCCCAGACCAGGAATAGAACTGGGGTCAGTGGGGTTGGTGAGTCTCAGGGTGAATCCAGGCTGGGGGTGGGGCCTGAGTGGGCTTCCTTCGAGACTGCATGTATTGAGGGGGTTGCATAGGTACCAGTCACTCCAACCAGGGAAATCCAACTGTAAAGTCTGTCCACCTTCCTTCCCTGCAAAGTTGAGCGCCCTCCAGGTCTTGGGAGATCCCATACCAAGTCCCCAACTTCCCAGGCTCCAGGATCTAGAAGAAGCCAGGCCCAGGCGTGGGAAGGCCTCGGGGAGCTGGAACTTCCCCCTCCTGGCATCAGGCCCAAGAGTGTCCTGCCAGAGCTGGCAGTGGACACCAGCTCCTGGCAGAGGATCCCTCTTTCCCTGCCGCACCATTTTGTGCCCAGCATCCAGCACCTGTCACCTGTCCTGTGGAGGGAGGGAGCCTGGAGAGGGGTTGTGAGGGTAGTGGTGGCAAGGGTGTGTGGTGCACGCATCCTGAGGTGTGTGCACTCGCCTGTGTGTGTGTGCACAAGCGCAGCTAGTTGTGTTCAACCACCTGTAGGCTTGGGAATTTGTCTTCAGAACCCCAGACCGCTCAGCTCAAGACTGACTCCTAGGACACTTGCAGTTGGGGGAGGGGGGAGTCGAGACAGGGTCTCATGTAGCTCAGGCTGGTCTCTAGCCAAGGGTGACATTCAGCTCCTGATCCACCTCCGCCACTCCGTTGCTGGGATTGCAGGCATGCACCGCCGTGCCATTTTTACAGGACTGAGAGTAGAACCCAGGGCTTGGTGCATGTTAGGCAAGCATTCTACCAACTGGTCCACATCTTCAAGCCCCAAATTGTTTTGTTTTGACTCTAGGTCTTGCTATGAGGATGGCCTGGAACTCAACCATCCTCCTGCCCCAGCTTCCTGAGTGCTGGGGTCAGAGCTGTGTGTGCGTCACCACACTGGGTAGCCTTGATCCTTCCTACCTTGTCCTCAGCTCAGAGGCAGCCACACTCCAATACCTGCTGCCTCAGTTTCCACACCTTTGAAATGGAGCTAACAACATCTACCTCCGAGGGTTGTTAGGGAGAGTGTTTTGGTGGCGGGGCAGGGGCTTTGGGAGCGGTTCTCATCATACCTGGGCACTCTGGTGGCAGTTTCCTGCCTTCTGCGAGGTTCCCTGAGCAGGCTGAGCCTGTGAACTTGGAAGAGCTGCCGCCCAACATTCCTGCCCCCCTCCCCCCAGGTCTGCCAGCCTGTGGCTATTTGTAGCGATGACTGCATCTCTGGGCCCTTGTATGGACGGGATGCTGCTTGTGTGTGGTGAGAGGGGGAGGAACGGAGATGACACAGACAGGTGCGCGCACTTGAGCCCTCCGTTGCTGTCCTTGGCCTCTAGTGCTGAACCCTGAGACTAGGGCAACCTGCGGCCCCACTGTCGGGCCCCGCCCCGGCCCGCTAGCTCCCCTGTCCACGCCCCTTCCCGGGCTCCTCCCTCCTGCTCACTTGCAAGGCCTCCTCCCTGCTCTGTGGCCCCGCCCCCAGCCCACATGGCCACGCCTCCTCGCAATGGCTCCTCCCACAGCAGTTTCTCTAACTGGAGCTCCCAGACCCCCTTCCCTTCCATAAGTCCCGCCCTCCTCTGACTCCTCCCTCTTTTCCTCCGGCCTCCCTTCCTCCTCCTGGTGGTCCTTTCCCCAGCTCCCCTGGGCCCACCCTCTCTCCTCCATCAGCTCCTCCCTCCTCCAATCTGTCCCTGTCCTCCAACCCACAGCTACCGCGTCCGCACCCTACCCCTCCTCAGTCTCCTCCTTCCCACCTCCTGGTGGTCCTTTCCCCTGCTCACTTGTCCCCTCCCCTCCCCTCAGCGGCTTCTCCATCCTTCAACCTAGTCCCTCATCTCCGCTGATCCCTCCGCCCCATCTCCTCTGTCCCCGCCCCCTCCCCTGGGCTCCGCCCTCTCCCGGCCCCTCCCCGGTTCCCCTCCTCGCATCCCCTCTCCTCCCTCCTCCCTCCTCCCTGCTCTCCCTCAGTCCCTGGCTCCTCTCCCTCTTTCTCCCTCTCCTCCTCGGGTGGAGGCGCCCACCGTGGCGGCCCAGCGGGGACCGGACCGGCCGCACGGCAGGTAAGAGCCCAGCGTGGCCGCCCGCAGCCCCGGGGCAGCGGGCACCCAGGCTGTGCTGCGTCGTCAAGTGCGGGGGCTTCCTGAGCCCCGGCTCCCAGTCCTGGCTGCCCGGCTTTCTGCGTGCGCCATGTGTATGGTGTGTGTCTGTCTGTCCGTTTCTGGGCACCCAGGTCTCTGTCTCTCCCCTCTTCTCCCTCTGCCTGCAGCCAATTCACACCCACACACCTCTGTCTCCGCCCCTGATGCACGGGGACCCGGAGGAGGCTGATCCTCCCCCTGCAGTGTGGACTCCCCCGAGGGCCCGGAGTGCCCCCAACTCCTCACCCCTCCTTAGCCCAGGTCTCCGCATCCTCCCAACCCTGACATTCTGAGGCTGGTCCTGACTTCAGCCGAACCTGTGTAGTAACATTAGACCAGTCCTTCCAAAGTCTAACTCCCATATCGCTCACTGTTTGCCCATTCATTCTTTGGACAACTCTGCGACACTTTCGTACTCCTGGGCACTGCTCTAAGGTCAGGCTGGACAGGTGCTTCCTGAAGTCTCACTTCCATCCTCCAGCCTCACACCTGCGAGGTTGGGTGGGAAAGCAGATCTCCTGGGGACTCTGACGCTTCCCTTCCCACAGGAAGGGCTGGCTCTGGGGAAGGTGGGCGAGGTGCTGGCCAACACCTGGGCCAGAGCTGGGATGAGCTTTGGCATGCCCACAAGGTCCCCGCTCTGTGTGGCAGGGCAGGCGTGTGGCAACTCCAGATGGCTTCAAAGGTCACTGGGTTAAGAGCCCCACAGCACAGTTCTGTTCTGCCTCTGGCTTGGACAATTCCTTCTCCTCCCCAGCCTCAGTTTACCTATCTGCAATTTGAAACCCTGTGTGTGCTGTATGGCTAAGGGAGGGACAGACGGGGTGGTGGTGTGTGTGTGTGTGTGTGTTGAATTCGGTGTTCCCGCTCTGCATTGCAGCCCTCAGCAGAGGGGATATACCCCAGGTCCTCACTCTGCTGTGGTTGCCTTGATGGACGGGAGATTCTTCCCAGAATCCCCCAGAGGTAAACCAGGCAGAGCAGGACACTCACTCACCACCAACCCAGCTGGCCACCAGCCCACCAGGCTGGGGATGCCCCTGCCTCCAAGCCCTGAGATGTCACCATCTGCCCTGCTGGCTCCTCCCGGACTCAACCTGATCCTTTTGCCGCTGAGTCTACACCCAGATTAGCTTTCAAGGCTCAGGGGAGGAAGCCTGGAGCAGAAAGTGTGGCTGCTCCAGCCATAGACAATGCTCAGGCCTCTTGTCCATGAGTTTCACAAATATTTATCTAGTGCTTTCTCTCCTGGGTCTCTCTTCCAAGACCCAGAGCGAGATGGGGGAAATCTGGGTGACAGCAAAGGGGATTGAGCAGACGACTGGATAACCCCGCCCCTGGGCAGGCAAACACTAGTCCGCTGACCCTGGTCTTCCTGGAGGACTTCCCAGGCTTCTTGCCCTCCCCAAAAGAGGCAGTTAGATGTGGCTGGATGGATTCTTGACTTTCTGGATCTTCCCTTTTTCTCCCAAAAGCCCGGGAGGGAGTAGGAGGAAGCAAAGGGGAATCTGCTTGGGATCCTGGTGGGTTCATAATTATGCCTGAGTGTTTGCTAATTAGGGGCTGCTAATTAGATATATCATTAGGGGCCTTGCCTAGGGGGCTAACTGTGCAAGTGGCCCTTTAAGAATCACCCCGCCCCTGCACACACACACACACACACACACACACACACACACTGCTCACTCCTTTTCAGGAAGTTCTGCCAACATGCTGCCTCCCTCCCCCAGAGAAGCCTGCTCCTGGTCTGTGGGTGTGAGGCGAGGGCAGGCTGTGGGTTAGACTTCCAGAGGAACTTTTCAGACTGCCATGGAAGGTGGAAATTCCTGAAGACTTGAGGCTAGAGCACCCCAAGGCTTCTCTGAGAGGGCAGCCAGCTCAGGTGACAGCTCCTCCGGCCTGCCTCTTCTCCATAATAGGCAACTGGGTTACCATAGCTACTTGAGGGCGGGGCTGGGAGCTAGACCTTGGGCACCCTTCTGGGGAGAGTGGATGGATGCTGGGTGACCTGAGCATTGCTTCACTTCGCTGAGCCTTGGCCCTCTTAGTTTGTGAACTGAGTGGAAGACACCTACCCCAGAGCCCAGGTGTTTCATCTTGGCAGGGACACAAAAACGAGGAAGCCCACAGAGGAGAGGGCTTGAGGAGGGAGAAACTCGCACAGTTTGTGCAAGGCACGGCAGAAGGTAGAGTGGCTGGGACAGAGCAGACAAGGGAGAGGGAGGCATCATACAGGCAAGGCAAGGGGCTACAGTCCTCTGAGGCTGGAGCCATGGAACATTCTAGAAAGAGGATGGATGGGAGCTAATGGGTGCTTGTTATTAATTTATTGTGCACGTGTAAGGTCAGAGGACAACTTTGTAGAACACATTCTCTCTTAACGCCTTTTCTTTGGCCACAGCACACTCACCACCACCCCCTCCCGAATACATAAAATGTAGTAAAACATAAACATAGAAAGACGGGGGTTTGGAGAGATGGCTCAGCAGTTAGCACTGGCTGCTCTTCCAGAGGACCTGGGTTCAATTCCCAGCACCCACATGGCAGCTCACAACCGTCTGTAACTCCAGTTCCAGGGGATCCAGCCAGCATCCATGTCAAAGCACCAATGCACATAAAATAAAGATTAAATTATGAAACAAAAAAACACAGGAAGATAAAAATAGCCACTCAGACCCAGAACCTACCACAGCCCCCTCAAGGGCCAAACTAGAATGACTAGAATTGCCCAGTGGACTCCTGCCCTCCAGCTTCAGGCTCACACAGAGGCCTCACGGTGTCCTTTGTGCCTGGTGTCCTTCACTGGGTCCCATGCCTCAGGATCCGGATCCTCTGTACCATCTCATCCGGCCATCGTTCCCACCCTGCTCACGGCTGTATGCTACTTCATTTTGATCCTGCATTTAATTGTTGTGGGGCCTCCAGGTTACTTCAAGGTTGGCCCTGTTATAGACAAAGCTGATGTGGACATTCTCCTGGAGACCCTTTGGTGAGACGGCCTTATAAGCCTGTCCTAGGAACAGAACTGCTGAATCATAGAGTGTTTGATGTTTGGCTGCGGGCTCCCAGGGTATTTTGATTTGCTAATGTTTCTAGCATTTCACAAGGCCCCTCTGTCCTGGGCATTCCTGTGTCTTTTCCTCTGGGTGTCCATGTGGTGATCTCTGTGTTTCCCTGAGTCTCCTTGTTTGATAGTGCTGGTGATGAAACCCAGGGCTTTTGCATGCTAGGTAGGAGGTCTATCTCTGCACCGCACCCTAAGCAGGGGCTCTACCACTGAGCCACGCCCCTAGCCCGCCCTGTGCCTTTTGAGTGACAGGGAGACATCCGATCCACTCACTTTTATCTTCTGCTCCTCCCCTTAGGACCCTATCACCCTCCATGGCTCCCCTGGCCTTGGTGGGGGTTGTGCTCCTCCTGGGAGCACCCTACTGCTTGGGGGAGGCCACTCCGACCCCTTCCCTGCCGCCTCCCCCTGCTAACGACAGTGATGCCAGCCCAGGTGGCTGCCAAGGTTCCTACCGCTGCCAGCCAGGGGTGCTGCTTCCTGTGTGGGAACCCGACGACCCGTCAATGGGAGACAAGGCAGCAAGGGCCGTGGTGTACTTTGTGGCTATGGTCTACATGTTCCTGGGCGTGTCCATCATTGCCGACCGCTTTATGGCATCCATTGAGGTCATCACTTCTAAGGAGAAGGAGATTACCATCACCAAGGCCAACGGGGAGACCAGCGTGGGCACTGTGCGCATCTGGAACGAGACAGTGTCCAACCTCACACTCATGGCCCTGGGCTCCTCGGCACCTGAGATTCTGCTGTCTGTCATCGAGGTCTGTGGCCACAACTTCCAGGCGGGTGAACTGGGCCCAGGCACCATCGTGGGCAGTGCCGCCTTCAACATGTTCGTGGTCATTGCTGTGTGTGTGTACGTCATCCCAGCTGGCGAAAGCCGTAAGATCAAGCATCTGAGGGTCTTCTTCGTTACGGCCTCCTGGAGTATCTTTGCCTACGTCTGGCTTTACCTCATTCTGGCAGTTTTCTCCCCAGGTGTAGTCCAGGTGAGTAAAGACCTACACTCCAGGAGAGCCTGGTGGCTTGGGGTGTCCGCACGTGTGCGTGTGTGCGTGTGTGCATGTGTGTAACAGAACCACCAGATACAGCTGCGCCAGACAAGCTCTGCACCAGAGAGGGCTGAGCCAAAGACAGCAAGTCAGAGATGCAGGTGCAAGTAGAGAAGGTGATTCCCAAGGCTTTGCATGGGCTAACAGAGCCCAAGGTCCGTGTAACACACATCTCAGCTTGCCACAGAGTTACCTGAGAGCACTTCTTTTGCATAATTTATTCCTGACTTTGCAATAAGACATGCCTATTTGCATAATTCGAACTACGCTTGCATAGGCCAGCCTCCCCCCCCCACCCTGTGTTCTGACAGTGCAAATCAATTTGAGTAATTTGGTCCATTTACATAATATATCCACAGACTGGCATCCGTGGTACCCACATCTGCATGATTTATCTCTCCGTAGAGCCCGAGAGACAGGGGCAGTTTGCATGGCTCGTTCATTATTCATCTTCAGTTCAGATTCAGTGTAGTTTATACTCCCTTCCAATTGGCAGAGACACCAGCAGAGGCCGGTGTCCACTTTGCATAATTTATTTCCACGCTGAGGCAGACTTGAAACTCACAGCTGCCTGGCTCACACCCCAATTGCCACGGTGCTCCACCTCTGCCAGGCCCAGTGTTTCACCTGCACCCCTGCCTGTCCCCATCTTCCTTCACAGCATTTGGTTAACTTATTTCCCACAATTCTAACTCCGATGCCGCTATTTGCATAATTTATTCATGGGCCGGGCCTCATTCGCTCCCCGTACATGCATAATTTATTTGTGGTGTCCGAGACTCACTCATTCACGCTGTGCGTGATCTGTTAACTCCTGTCACTTAATAGCTCCTGCTCCAGAAGGACCCAGGCGGAAAAGGGCTTTAGAGTTGGTATCAAAGTGGAGACTGCAGGGATTATCTGGATCTGTAATCCTAGCACTAGGAAAGCTGAGGCAGGAGGATTGCTATGAGTTCGAGTTCAGCCAGGGTCACACGGGTGAGAATGCTTCAGAAAAACAGGGAGGAAGAGGGGAGGGAGAGAGAGGAGGAAGGGAGGGAGGGAGAGGAAAAACAGACACCATGTGATCAAAGCCTGGGAGAGAGTTTACACCTAAACCATGGCTGTAACACTGAGCTTCCTAGTGGCCCTGGCAAAAAGTACAGGATAGGACACCAGACAGTCTTCAGGTTCTCTTAAAGGACAGCATCCTGACACAGGGTCCAAAACAGTCTCTGTGTGAGTATGTAAGGTGCAAACACAGGGTCTTCCTCAGCTGCTCTCCACCTTGTTCTTTGAATCAGGGTCTCTCTGTCAACCTGGAGACCACCGTTTGGCTAGACTTGCTGGCACTTGAGCTCAGGGGTCCTCCTGTCCCCACCCACCCAGCACTGGGGTGACAGATGCAAGCCCCTCCCTCACCCAGCGTTTTATCCGTGGTCCTCATGGCTGCACGGCAAGCATGCTACCTACCCACTGAGCCGCCTCCCCAGACCTCCAAGTGGTTTTGAGCAGGGAGATATATATACCTGGGTATATATGGAGCTGTGAAGAAGGAATTTTAGACACACAGGTGAGGGGGAGGGACATATGAGCTAGTTGTGACCTAGAGGGAAGATGGAGGATGGCAGAGCTTCAGACGGAGGACTGCTGATCACCGTCCCTCCAGGAGCCTCAAAGAGACTGGGCTGCAGGTAAGATCAGCCTGGCTCCAGATGTCCCCACAATTGTTATGTGACTTCAGGCAAAGCCCATACTCTCTGGGCCTCCATTTTCACATCTGAACCATGAAAAGGGGTATCCTAGGTCACCATAGAAAAAGAGGCTTGAGCTGGGCGATGGTGGCGCTCGCCTATAATCCCAGCACTCGGGAGGCAGAAGCAGGAGGATCTCTGTGAGTTCAAAGCCAGCCTGGTCTACAGAATGAGTTCCAGGACAGCCAGGGCTACACAGAGAAACCCTGTCTAGGAAGGAAGGAAGGAAGGAAGGAAGGAAGGAAGGAAGGAAGGAAGGAAGGAAGGAAGGAAGGAAGAGACACTTGGTTCATAGAACCCTGAAGCCAAGCGCCTGGGTTCAAATCTGACCTCCACTAAACCCCTTGGACAAGAAGTCCCTTTGTATGTGGGTCTTTCCATTGCTGAGTTCCCAGGGTTGCTATAAGATGACTTCAGCTATTCTGTGAAGAAGGCCTTGAATCAGTGTGCCTGGAACAGAGTAAACGGAGCTCTGAGTCATGTGAATGAAATTGTTGACATCACTGGCTTCTTGAAAAGTCAGTGTGTGCACACTGAGAGGCTGGGGTTCTCTCCCAGAGCCAAGGAAACGTGTGTGCTGGGTTGAAGAGAAAGAAAGGAAAAGATCAGACACCATTCCATTGGAGAGGCAGAAGAGCCTCCAAATCAAGCATAAATGCGATTGGCGTCCGCAAAATCACGAGGGGAAATAGAAAACACTTAAAGCAGGGCTGAGCGTGCACACTTGTGATCTCGCATTCGGGAAGGTCAGGAGTGCAAAACCAGCCCGCACTACAAGAGATCCTAAGTCAAAAAATAAAAACAAAACAAACAAAAGTCAGAGTTGAACTCTTTCTCTCTTAAAAATATTTTTTTAAAAAAAACTAGAACGAAATGGAGGTGGTGATGGCACACACCTTTAACCCCAGCACTCGGGAGGCAGAGGCAGGTGGATCTCTGTGAGTTTAAGGCCAACCTGGTTTACAGATTGAGTTCCAGGACAGCCAGGGCTGCACAGAGAAACCCTGTGTGGAAACACCACAGAAGGGGGGGGGGTGTAATAATCTTCACATCCAGCTGGCCAGTGTTGCTGTATATTGCCTGTGTGTGTCCAGGGGATAAACTGGTTGAATCTTGCCCAAAGCCAGCCCAAGATCACTGGACTAGTGATGGTAGTGAACAGAGAATACTTTAGTTATTTCTTTTCTTTTCTTCTTTCATACCAGAGATTCAGCCTTACACATGCTAGGCAGGTGCACTGCCATTGATATTCTAGGTAGGGTCTCCACCATTGAGCCACACCCCCCAGCCCCTCCCACACTGGGGGATTCTAGGCAGGGGCTCCACCACTGAGCCACGCCCCCAGCCCCTCACTGGGGGATTCTAGGCATGCACTCTACCACAAAGCCTTTTTATTTGTATGCATGTTTGTCTGTACACCACCCATGTGTCTGCTGCCTTCGGAGACTAGTAGAGGGTGCTGAATCCCTGAAACTGGGGTTATGGGTGGTTGCAAACCTCCATGGGGTGCTAAGAACTGAAGCCACTGAGCTGTCTTTCCCGTTCGTTCCATCTCTCTCTTAGAACTTAATAATAAAAAATACTTTTAGAAGCCAGGCAGTGGTGGCACACACCTTTAACCCCAGCACTCTGGACGCAGAGGCAGGCGGATCTCTGTGAGTTCAAGGCCAGCCAGGGCTACACAGAGAAACCCTGTCTCAAAAAAACAAAATAAAAAAAAAAAAAAAGTATTTTTGAGGCAAGGTCTTACTATGTAGTCCTCGCTGGTCTTCAACTTGCAGAAATCAGCCTGCCTCTGCCTCCCCAGAGCTAAAGGCATGCACCACCACACCTGGCTAAATCCTTCTAAAAACTTGGGGATTACCTGTAGAGGACACATGGCTGCCAGGGTAGAAGGCAGAGGACAACTTGAAAGAGTTGGTTTTCACCTTCACTCCCAGGGAATAGACCTCCAGGGTCAGGCTTGGAAAGTATTTGGCCACGTTTCCCAGGCTAGCCTAAAACTTGTCATCCTCCCCCTGCCTCGGCCTCCCAAGCTTCTACAGTCACCACATTGTGCCACTGTGACCACATTGTTCTACCTCTTGAGTGTCCCTCATGTGCCAGGAGCTGGCATTGCCGAGGACACGTGTGTCAGTGCCAGCCTAGAGGTGGCCCTCGTTTACCGACCCGACCCCAAGGCTGCTGGGTTCCCTCAGAGCTCTTTCGCTACCTGCCATGCATGCTGTAGGAGTGAAAAGTAAATGGTGGCCTCAGACGCAGAGCTCAAAGTCACCCTTGCCCCTCAGAGCCGTTCAAGCTCTGAGGAAGGAAAGCCTGGCCAGGGGAGGTGGAGGGACTGCGGTGATCAGAAAGCAGGTATTCCAGATGAGGAGGAGAAAAGAGATGGAGGGGAGAGGGAGACTCTGACCCTGATAAGCCAGGAGCACAAGTGGGAACATCTGTCACTTGGTGGCTAAGAATGTCTCAAAGTCTAGTTAGTGCAAGTACAGCAAAGTATAGCATAGCTCTCAGCAGGTCGATGGATAAGGCGAGCGGGAGTGAGCCAGGCAAAGAACACACACACACACACACACACACACACACACACAGTGCCATTTAGAGAGGCACATTTCCTGAGAGGACAAAGGGGAGGAAAAAATGACATAGAAACAAGGTGAGAAGACCAAGTGGAAGGGGGAGGGAAGATTTAAAACACCAGCTGGGGAGGGAGGGCAGAGAGAAGAGGCAGCCAGAGAGGCAGGGGTAAAGAATTAAGCGGGTTGAGGATGGCATGATGGTTTGAGATGGGTAAAGGTGGGTGGATGTGAGTGGATACATAATACATGGATGGGTGGACAGGTGTATGGATGCATTGATGCATGTGTGAATGGGATGGAGGGATGGAGGGATGGACAGGTGGGCACATGGATGGATGGAAGACAGATGGACAGCGGATGTTCTCTTAGTTAGGGTTTCTATTGCTGTGATAAAACACCATGACTAAAAGCAACTTGGGAGAGGGAAGGGTTAATTCATTTACTGTTTAAGTTACTGTTCTACTGCTGTGAAGAGACACCATGACCAAGGAAAGGCTTATAAAGGAAAGCATTTAATTGGGAGCTTGCTTTCAGTTTCAGAGGGTTAGTCTGCTGTCATCATGGCAGGAAGTTATGGCCCTGTAGCAGTAGCTGAGAGTTTTTATATCCTGATGTGAAGGCAGAAGGCAGGAGTGTGTGTAAGGGGGCCAGGGGTGGGGGACACTGGGTCTGACATAGGCATTGAAACTTCAAAGCCCACCCCCAGTGACACACCTTCTCCAACGAAGCCACGCCCACTCCAATGAGACCATACCTCCTAACCATTTTATTTTATTTTATTTATTTGTTTTATGTATAGTGCTCTGCATGGGTAACTGCATTCCTATTATAGATGGTTGAGAGCCACCATGTGGTTGCTAGAAATTGAACTCAAGGCCTATGGAAGAGCAGCCAGTGCTCTTAACCGCTGAGCCATCTCTCCAGCCCACATCTAATCTTTATCCAAGAAGTTCCACTAACTGGAGACCAAACATTCAAATATATGAGCCTGTGGAGGTCATTCTCCTTCAGACCACCACACTTATACTTCCAAAGCACAGTCCATCATCAAAGGAAGGCAAGGCAAGAACTAATGCAGAGTGTGGAGGAGTACTGCTTAATGGCTTGCTCAGTTTGTTTTCTTATACACCCCAGGACCACCTATCCAGAGGTAGCTAGCACTCACAATGGGCTAACACATCAACTGCTAACTAAGTAAACCCATGAAAGGCTTGCCCACAGGCCAGGTTGACTGCGGCATCTTCTCAATTGAGGTTTCCTCTTTCCAAAGGACTTTAGATTGTTTCAAGTTCATAGAGAACCAGGTAACACAGACTGGGTTGATGAATAGGTGGGCGGATGTGTGGGTGGACACATGGAAGGATGGATGGATGGGACGGGTGGATAGGTAGGTGGACACAATGATAAATGAATGGAGGACGGATGGATGGATGGATGGATGAACACACATCTGGATGGAATGATTAGCTGCATAGGATAGGTGGGTAGATGGGGTGGGCACATCTGGATGGATGAATAGATGGATGGACGGATGGATAGGTGGGTGGACACATGGATAGATGTGATAGATGGGTATATGTGTGGAGAAACTTGAGCACAGGAAAAGCAGAAGTGAACAGAGATGAATAGGAGAGGAGAGAGAGAGAGAGAGAGAGAGAGAGAGAGAGAGAGAGAGAGAGAGAGAGAGAGAGAGAGCACGCAGAGTGCTCACCGCCTGCCGCCCGCAGGTGTGGGAGGCGCTGCTGACACTGGTCTTCTTCCCGGTGTGCGTGGTGTTCGCCTGGATGGCGGACAAGCGGTTGCTCTTCTACAAGTATGTGTACAAGCGCTACCGCACCGACCCTCGTAGTGGAATCATCATCGGGGCAGAAGGTGACCCGCCCAAGAGCATCGAGCTGGACGGTACGTTCGTGGGCACCGAGGTCCCAGGTGAGCTGGGCGTGCTGGGCACGGGTCCTGCCGAGGCACGTGAGCTGGACGCCAGCAGGCGTGAGGTCATCCAGATTCTTAAGGACCTGAAACAGAAGCACCCAGACAAGGACCTGGAGCAGCTGGTGGGCATCGCCAAGTACTACGCACTGTTGCACCAGCAGAAGAGCCGCGCCTTCTACCGCATCCAGGCCACGCGGCTGATGACGGGTGCGGGCAACGTGCTTCGAAGACATGCCGCAGATGCAGCCCGCAGGCCCGGGGCCAACGACGGCACGGCGGATGACGAGGACGATGGCGCCAGCCGCATCTTCTTTGAGCCCAGCCTCTACCACTGCCTGGAGAACTGCGGGTCCGTGTTGCTGTCGGTGGCCTGCCAGGGCGGGGAGGGCAACAGCACTTTCTATGTGGACTACCGCACAGAGGACGGCTCTGCCAAGGCGGGATCAGACTATGAGTACAGGTGAGTCCCAGTACACGTGACACTCAGGTCCCTGTGAGTCCCAACTACAAATAGGACCCAGGTCAAGGTGAGTCCTGGCCCAGATTGCTTTCAGCCTCGGGTTGATCTTGAATAAGATAGGTCCCGGTACAGGAGGTACTCAGGCCCATGTAGGTCCCAACTACAGGTGCGTCCCAGGTCCAGGTGAGTTCACGTGGTACAGTGGGTCCTGGGCAAGTCACGTGAGAAGGTAGGAAACATGGTGCCTCCATGGGCTGAGCCTCAGAGAATGCCTTCGGTGTCTCCTTTCCCTACTATATGCAGATCTGTAGCATCAGTGTTTGAATATATTCACTCATCATTCATTCATTAATGATCCAGTCATCATTCATTCGTTCACACCACTGAGCCACGCCCCCAGCCCCTCACTGGGGGATTCTAGGCAGGGGCTCTACCACTGAGCCACACCCAAACTCTAGTGTGGGAGGAAAAGACCTCTCTGCTGCTTAACACATTTAGAGTGCCTACCACATGGTTATAGCTGATGTGTTGGGGCCACATCACACCGCTTTCCACCTTGTACCTGTTACCTGCTGGTTTTGGTGCACAGGCTCACCTTTGTAATGCATACAACTTTATCAAGTTCTTGGCCACCTGGAGCACATGTGCTGGTCATATGTCACAATTCTGCTCCCCAAATGTACCAGACACAGATCTGGGGAAGACAAAGTCTTTATATTTTTCCATTCAACATTCACAAGTTATCTGTGCCTCTTATTCCTGGATCATGCTGGATTTTGTTTTTATTTCATTTTTATTTGTTTGTTTATTTAAGATATGGTTTCTCTGTGCAGCCCTGGCTGTCCTAGAACTTGCTCTGTAGACCAGGCTGGCCTCAAACTCATAGAGATCTGCCTCCTGAGTGCTGGGATTAAAGGTGTGTGCCACCACCACCCCGACCATCTGCAATTTGAGTTGACCTCATATGTCCTCCAAAAGAGACAGAGTTGTGTGCACTTCCTGCTGGGGCCAAAGGAGGGAAGCTGCATCGTTGGTGCGCCTCCCAGGTGCTTGGTGACTGCCTCTTTGTTGCTGGCAGGCTCCAGTTTGACTGCTTGATAGAGGCAGCTATTCCCATGTCCTGCTATTCCCCTTAGATGCAGTTTCAAATATCTTATTTTAGAATCCCCCATGTCTTTGTTGTTAGGAAAAAAAAAATCTTCCATTGCTCAGGCTGGTCTAGAACTTTCTATATACCCCAGGGTATTCCTGACCTCCTCGTCCTCCTGCCTCTCCTGAGTGGTGGGATCACAGGCATGCACCACTACACCTGGTTTATGTAGTCCTGGGGATGGAACCCAGGACATCATGGCTGCTAGGCAAGTAATCCATGCACTGAGCCACAACCCCAGCTTGTAGAATTCTATGGTTCTAACATTAATGTGCAAATGTCATTAGGTAATTTGTTTAATCCCCCAGTGAGGGGCTGGCGGGGGTGGGGGGGAGTGGCTGCACACTCAGCTTTTGAAGTGTTTTGTTGTTATTGCTTATTTGTTTTGCTTTTCTTTAATTTTTAGGTTACATTTTCTTTAGAGCTATTTTTATCTGATCTTAAGTGTATGAGTGTTTTGCCTGCATGTGTTGTATGTCTGCACACTATGTGTATGCTTGGTGCACACGGAAGTCAGAAGAAGGCATCAGGTCCCCTAGAGTTATGTAAACTGTTTATGAGCCACTGTATATGTGTACTGAAAATCAAACTCAGGTCCTTTGGAAGAGTGGCCAATGCCCTTAACCACTGATCCAGCCCCTAAATTACATGTGTGTACATGCTTGGAAGTCAGAGGACAATTTATGGGTGTCATCAGTGCTCTCCTTCCACCATGCAAGTCCCAGAAATTAAACTCAGGTCAACAAGCTTGGTGGCAATCACCTTTGCCCACTGAACCATCTTGCGCAACCCCGTCTTATTTTATTTATTTATGCATTCATTCATTCATTTAAATTAGAGGGACAGCAAGGTCTAAATCTCTGCTACTCAGTGTTTGGTCCCAGCACCACCCACAGCCCTAGAGTTACAAATACAGAATCTAGAAGCTGGGGGTCTCTACACCACACTCCCACTTCAGCAGACAGTAAGGGGATCGAGGGTTGAGGAGGACCCTAAAACCCATCCTTGGGGCTGGAGAGATGGCTCAGAGGAGGCTTAAGGGAATTAGCTGCTCTCCCAAAAAGAATCGAGAGACACACAACCATGTGCCTCCAGCCCCAGGGGATCTTCTGGCCTCTTCCGGCACTGCACACACATGTGCGCATAACAGGGGTGACACCTCTGGTCCTCTCTTCTGCAGCGAGGGCACGTTGGTGTTCAAGCCCGGAGAGACGCAAAAGGAGCTGCGCATCGGCATCATCGACGACGACATCTTCGAGGAGGACGAGCACTTCTTCGTGCGGCTACTGAACCTGCGTGTGGGCGATGCGCAGGGCATGTTCGAGCCCGACGGCGGCGGGCGGCCCAAGGGGCGGCTAGTGGCACCGCTGCTGGCCACCGTCACCATCCTGGACGACGACCACGCAGGCATCTTCTCCTTCCAGGACCGCCTGCTGCACGTGAGCGAATGCATGGGCACCGTGGACGTGCGCGTGGTTCGCAGCTCAGGCGCGCGCGGCACCGTGCGCCTCCCCTACCGCACAGTGGACGGCACGGCCCGTGGCGGTGGCGTGCACTACGAGGACGCTTGTGGAGAGCTGGAGTTCGGCGATGATGAAACCATGTGAGCGCGAGTAGGAGAGAGGCGGAGCCTGGGGGGGGGATGCGGACCTGAGGAAGGGCCCTGGCTGAGAATGGGGCTCATGAGGGCAGGATAACCCTGACCTGAAGAACAGCCCTAAGCCTTTAACCCCAGCACCCAGGAGGCACAGACAGTCAGATCTCTGTGAGTTCTAGACCAGCCTGTCCTACAAAGTGAGTTCCAGGACATCCAGGGCTACACAGTGAAACCCTGTCTCACAAACACACAAACAAACAAGCAAACAAAAAACAGCCCTGACAGGCAGTGAGGTAGGGGAGGAGGATGCTGAGGAATGGCAACATTGGCTTGGTACTGAAGAATGATTGAGCTGGGGATGGGGTGGGGCTAATGTGGGTAGGGTGTGGGAAATAGTCTTTGCCGGAGATGGGCTGGGCCAAGATGGGAAATGGGCCTTGCTGGCAGAGGGGGCGGGGCTGAGGTGGGCAGGGGCTGACAAATGGCCCTGGCCGAAAGCTGGGATGGAGCTGTGGCCGGATGTGTCACCAGAGTAGACGTCCTGTGAAATGGACTTGCCTGGGAGGCAGTGCGGGGGAGGAGTGGAAGATGAGGAGTTTCCTGGGCGTTCGTGGGGCCGTGCAGAGAAAGGGAACCTGACTGGGCCAACGGGCCGAGCCCAAGCGCAGATCGGTAGAGACGGGATAGGGTCTTGAGGGTGGGAGGGGCCGTGCAGAGACAAAGTTTGATGGGCTGAGAGGAAAAGCTTGAGAAAGGATCATGGCAGATCTATGGATGAGAGGAGGCAGGGCTAAGGAGATCCAGGAGGGCTTTAGGAAGGAGAAGGACTTGAATGGGCCAAGCTGGAAAACGGAATTGGTCTGTAAAGAAGGAGGAGGAGTCTGCGAATGGGCGTGGCCTGGGTGGACCTGGGTTGGGAGAGTCAATAGACGTGGAAGCAAGGACTGGTCTCCAGGTGGAGGGGATCTTTAAAAAGGGGCGTATTTGTGGGTGGGCGTGGCCTCCAGGGTGCAAGCTAGCGAAAGGGGCTTGGCAGAGTAGAGGGGCTTGGTCGAGTGGTAGGCGGGGCCTTGGGTGTGGGAGGGGTCTAAAAGATGAGGCTTGAGAGAGCCAGGAAAAACCTAGAAAACGGTGGGAGGTCCAAGGATCAGGGGAGAGACACGGGATTCGGTGGGGCCTGGGGCACGGGGCCCTGAATACTGGTAGGTGCCTGGGTGCAACGTATGCTCTGTAGATGCGCAGACGGACGAGGCATTGCAAACTCTGCGCCCTGGCACTGCCTCAGAGTCCCTGGAGGCCCGAGCTCACCTCCCCCGCGCCTGCCCTGCGCAGCCAGCACCTCTCCTCCCGCGCCCGCCGCCCCCGCAGCGGCTGGCTCCCTCCTCCTGCCACCCACGCGCTCCCTCCAGCCTTGGGGCCTCCGCCTCGCCTTCATCTGGCCGATGATGGCTCTCCATCCCTGAATTTCTGACCTCCCGGGCTATGCCTCTCTAGGATCCTGGCTCTGTGTCAGTCTCTCGCTCGCTGCCTCGGGTTATGCTTTAGTCATAGGTCCTGCACAGTTGTCCACATTTGTCTTTGGGGCTGCGGGGGTGGGAGGTCACGTGATGGCTGCTTGGAATGACTAGCTCTATCATCATCTCTACTCATCTCCAAACTCAAAGAGACAGAAGGAAGGGATGGCAGAGTTGTCCTTTTTAGGTTCTGGTCCTTCTGATTGTCTAACCCGCTCTCCTTTCTGCTGCTGCAATCCCATGGGCCTCTCCTCCCCCACACGGTTTCCCCAGCCTGGGACACCCTCTGTCCTCCCCCACCTTCCGCCTCCGCCCAAGCTTCCAGCTGTGGCTACAGGAGCCGAGAGAACAGGAGGCTAATACAGGAGGCTAATTAGCGTTTAGGGAAACACATCCTTCCTCTGACGGGCAGGCGCTAATTAGAGGAACATGAAACAACCAGGCTGGAGTGGAGGCCTGGGCAGGATCAACACAGAGACTAGAGGAGTCAAGAGACTTAACGGGGAGACACAAAGAGAAGGAACCAGAGGAGAGGATGTGGGGGGAGGTGGAGGCAGAATGTAGGTGGAAAGAAACTCAGACCCAGAGAACCGAGGTCGTCGAGAAACACGGGGAGACGAATCAAGGGTGAGGGCTAGCTAGAGTGGCGTTCCCGGGAACCGAAGGATAGTAGCTGGGGAAGGAGGCTGTTGCCTAAGATCTCAGGACTGTCCTCACCTTGTCTAGCTAGGGTCTCTCTCCATGCCCTGTCTGTTGGAATTCTCCTGGGATACCTGTCAGAGTGCTGATTGACATACCTGTCACCAAGCATCAGCTGCCGTGTTAGAAGCTTGTGGGGTGTCTAGGAGAGCGCATGACAAAGTGTGTGCCCACCATGTCAGTTTGTCACTGTGTCCGCTTGTAGAGTTTGAGGACTCCAGTGTGCCAACCCCCACTTCCCAGATGTGGTGTTTCAGCACCGCGGACAGCGCCCAGTCCGCTCCTGACACCCGGCTGCTCTGCACAGTATTTTGAGACCCAACTGGGCTTGCAATCCCAGCAAGTGAAACTGGAGACTGGAGGATCGCCATGAGCTGCAGGCCAGCCTGGGCTACGGTGTGAAAGCTTGTTTTACAGGCAGCTGGGGATGTTGCCCAGTTGGTAGAGTGTTTAGCATGCCAGAAGCTCTGGGGTCCAATGTCAGCATCAATTCAGATGGTAGCCCACATCTCTAATCCCAGCACTCGGGAGGTGAAGGAGGATGATCAGGTGTTCAATTCATCTTTGTCCATACCTCGAGCTTGAGTTTTTATGTATATATTGGCGTGTGTGTGACGTATGTGGAGGTGGGTATGCTATGGCCCGAATGTGGAGAGTAGAGAACAACTTTTGGGAGTCCCCTTTCTCCTTCAACCTTTCACATGGGTACTGTGGATCAAATTTAGGCCATCAGGCTTTCAAGGCAAATGCCTTTACCCACTGAGCCATCTTGCCAGCCCTTCTTCACACAGAGTTCGAGGCCAACCTGGGCTCCGTGAGACCCTGTCTCAAATAATTTTCAAACCCGGAGAGTGGGGGGGTGGGTGGCTGTCCCTACATGACAGTGTCTCTGTGTGCTGCATGAGTTCACTCGTGGAGACGTGTTGATTGAATTATTACCTGCTTAGGAATCGTCTGCCTGTGTTGACTTTATCAAAGACAAAGGAGAAAGAGTACAGACAGAGGAGGGGCAAAGAGAGGAGAGAAACAGAGGCAGAGAGATAGAGGGACACAGCGAACTGCAGGGAGATGATGGTAGACAGAGAGAGACACTGCGGGAAATATACACAGACAGCAAGAGGAATAAAGAAAGGAATCTAAGCCTGGAGTGATGGCACATGCCTGACATCCCAGCATTTTAAAGGCAGAGGCAGGAGGATAGTGAATTTCAAGCCAGTATGGGCTACCTAGTGAGTTCCAGGCCAGCCTGAGCTACATAGTGACACACAGCCTCACAAAACCAAAGAGTAAATAACAAAAGAGCAAGGTCCATAGAAGAGCATTAGGAGGGTCCCACCGGGTGACAGTGTCTGTTTCAGGCTGTGTTGGGGGTGTCTCTCAAACGAACAGGCATCTGTTCCCTGAGATCATGCGCTGCTGCAGGGGGATGGCTGGGCGGATGGCTGTGCATGTGGGCGGGTGACTGTTGGAGCTTCCTCTATTGGTGACTGCGTGGGTGGGGTGTTTGTGTGGCTGGGATCTGGGGCCAGGCCTTATGGGGCTGGCTACATACACTGTTCCTCTAGCCAACAGTTGCTGGCACCCAATCTGTGAGCATTCCTTGCTGTGGGACTCGGAGATTGCAAGGAGGGGTAGGAGGTGTGTGGGTTCAGTGCCTTAAGGGGACAGGTAACATTGGGCTATTCCCTGCCTCACCCTGGTTACCATGGGAACAAAAAACCTGAGGAGAAGGGAGAGACTGGGCACATTGGGCTGATTTTCCAAATGTGGCCAGGATGGAGGGTGGGAAGCTGCAATTATTTTGTGTTGATAGATTTAATTAGTTGTTTCCCTTCCTCTTTCTTCCTTCCTGTAGCTCAGGCTGAACTTGATCTCAGGGTAATTCCCCTGCCTCAGCCTCTCAAGTGGTTGGGATGACAGATCCAGCCTTTTTATACTTTTTATGTGCATGTGTGTGTGTACACGTGTGCTCATGTGTGTGGAAGGCAGAGGACAATCTCAAGTGTCATCTTCAGAGGCCACCTCTTTTGAAACAGACCTCATTGATCTGGAGCTCACAATTAGGCTAGGCTGTCCTGGGGTGGTTGCATTTTGATAGAGCGCACCGCCCCCCAATTCCGCCAAGGGCCAGTAGCATCATCCTGAGGTGGTTTCAGGGCCGGGGTAACTTTATGCTTTCTGTCTGTGCCTTCCCCAGGAAGACCCTTCAGGTCAAGATAGTGGATGATGAAGAGTATGAGAAGAAGGACAACTTCTTCATTGAGCTCGGCCAGCCCCAGTGGCTTAAGAGGGGCATCTCAGGTGAGGGGTGAAAAGGTGGTTATGGGAGACGCAGGGGGCATAGGGTTGGGGGCCCCGGGGAGCTCGCGAGCCTGAGCTTTGAGGAGAAGCGACTCTCTCATTGTGTCCCTGTCTCTGTCTCTCCCCAGCTCTGCTACTCAACCAAGGTGAGTGAAGGGACCTCTGGGTGTGGAGGGGGAGAAGCTTCCAGAGCTACAGGGGTGGGCTTGGGGCATCTGGGATGGGTGAAGATTGGAGCCAGCTGGGACTGGGGGGGAGGGGTGGAAAGGGGTTATGGAGTTCAGGATGACACTTATAATTGGAGTTGGAAGAAACTGAGTAATGAGATCAGATCTGAGTTTGTAGCATAGTCTGTATGAATCAGGTTTGACACTGATTGGGACAGGGTGGAGTAGCATGGGATTATGAGATCCATCTTTCCACTAGGTCAAGGCAGGAATTGAATCAGAGGTTGTGGTCAGGGGTTGAGATGGGATTAGGTTATAACTGTAGTCAGTGTTTTTGCTAAAACTGAGGTTGAGGACTGGAGAGATAGTTCCGCTGTTAAAAGCACTCGCTGCTCTTCCAGAGGACTCCAGTTCAGTTCCAGCACCCATGCTAAGTTGCTTAAAACCACCTGTAACTCAAGCTCCTGGGTAGCTGACTCCCCCTTCTGGTTCCTCAGGCACCTGCACAATCCTGCAGGCACACAAACTCATGCACACACATAATTTTAAAACTTTAAAGCTGAAGTTGGGATGTGAAGACTTTCGGTTAGGAGTGGGGTCAGGGGAGGCAGGAGAATCAGAAGCTCAAAGTCACCCTCAGCTACATAGAGAGTTTGAGTCCAGCCTGGGCAATCAAAAAAAAAAAAAAAAAAAAAAAAAAAAAAAAAAAGACAGACTTAGACGTGGTAGCCCAAGCCTTTAATCATAGCAGTTGGGAGGGAGGAGACAGGGAGACAGTTGAAGGACAGCCAGGGATACATAGCTACCCTCACCTAAAAAAAATAACTGGTGCCAAGGTTAGAAGCTGGGGGTCAGAGTTGTGGTTAGAGTCTGTAGCTTGGCTATAGTGACAGTTTAGGAGCAAGATCTACACTATAGCCTACGGTTAGGATTAGCCTGAGACTAGGATGTCTCTAAAAGTCATGGCAAGCTGCTGTAACAAACATGCCTAACATTGCCTGTTTGCTACAATAAGTAGCAAATGCTTGCTGCAGTACTTTCTTGCTTAGGCAAAGTTTGTGAACGAGTCTTCTTTTCCGGTGTGGGCTTTTCCGTCAGATGCCTCCACGAGCCATTGAACTTTGTGTTGTCTCTGGGCCCTTTGCTGCCTCCAAGCAAAAGAGCAAGCAAATCCCCGGGACCCCAGGCTGGTCCTGGAGGCCCACAGCTCCAACGCTTCTCCCATTCCCATTCTATTGGCTGTAATTCAGTCACATGTCCATGCCCAGCTGCAAAGAATGTTGGGAAATGTAGTCCTCGTGTTTGCCCACAGACTTGGGTGAACTGGTAGCTGTCTCTGCGCACGGCTGAGTTTGTTGCTGGCGATGTTATCCAGAGGAGTTGGGATTGAGGCCTAGGGCTGGGTGCAGGGTGCAGGACTAGAGTGTGATGTTAGAGCAGCATTCGGGACCAGGTTTAACTCAGCCGCCCTATGAGGTAGACACGATTACTGTACCTATCAAACAGATGTAGAGACTATGGAACACAGAGGCTAAGGTACTGCCTGAGGTCGCACATCCTCCACCATGTAAACCCTCAGTTCATTACTAGAACTTCGTGGGCTGAGGGGGCACGTGGTCAGAGGAAGCTGAACCAGTCCACTGATGTCCCAGAGAGAACAGATAGTAAAACCATCGCCGACCCTGTTAGGCATGCCCCCTGGGCATCTAACCTCCACCTCTCATGCTGCAGGAGATGGGGACAGGAAGCTGACTGCAGAGGAGGAGGAGGCTTGGAGAATCGCGGAGATGGGCAAGCCAGTTCTTGGGGAAAACTGTCGTCTCGAGGTCATCATTGAAGAATCTTATGACTTTAAGGTGATTTCCTTTTCCTGGAGCCTGTCCTGAGCTTTGCTGGGGGCAGGGCGGGGGTAGCTCAAGGAAGGAAGAGCATGCCAGCCTCAAAGTTGGGGACCATGATGGGGTCCTTGGGAAGTCTCCAGGGCCGGTTTCAGCACTGGACAGTGAACAACAAACCACCTTCCGGGGCTGGGCGTGTGGGTGTGATTCCCAGCCGCAGGGTTTACACTACCCTGGGGACACTCATTCCTCCCTTCCCCCAGAACACGGTGGACAAACTCATAAAGAAAACGAACCTGGCCTTAGTGATTGGGACTCATTCGTGGAGGGAGCAGTTTTTAGAGGCAGTTACGGTGAGCGCAGGTAAGTTAAGGGGCCAGGGAGAGCCAAGGGAGGTGATGGAGAGACAAAGACACAAAGGTACTCGGGAGGGGGGAGGGGGTGAAGCAGACAGGTGGGCACCGGCTGACAGGCAAAGAGCGAGCATCCCCTCCCGCCGCGGAAGGCCAGAGACGGAGACTCAGACGGAAACAGAAAGGAGAAAGTTGAGGACACTGTGCAGTGGCCTTAGCTTTGATTTCCACTCGAGGTAGGTGGGCACCAGCCCGGGTGTTAATCTAGTAGCATCATGAAGTTAGAAGACAGATAGGTGAAATGGCAGCGGGCCTCCCCCAGACAGCCCTGGGCTTTTCTGTTGCCATGGAGACAGTCGCCAGGGCACCGGGTTCTTTCCCACCTGCTGTGGTCCTCACCCTTCTTAGTTCTCCCGCGGACCTGCTGCGCCCTCGTGCGGTCAAAGGCACAATAGCGACTGGATCCACAGATTCGATCTTGGAAATTCACAGGGGTCCTTTGCTACACAGATAGAGGAAGAGGTGACCTAAAGTCTCCCAAAGAGTTTATAATAAGATCTGGAGCTTCAATTCCCTTCCATACATAATATCGGGTTTCCTTCTGGATGCCCTCAACTGGAGGGACTAATACGAAAGGAATTGCGAGTAAAGACAATGTTGGGTAAAGAAACAGGTAAATGTGATTGATGCTAAGCCTGACAGTCTTAAGTTCGATTCCCAGGACTCATGCAACTTTTCCTTTGACCGTCTCACACACACACACACACAATTAACAAATAAATGTATACAACAAAAACCTGTTGAGTGCAGCTCAAATTCAGAGCTGTGGAGATATGAGACCAGCCTAGAGAGGCCCATGCAGTTGGCACAGCCCTTTGAAGCCACAACTTTTTATTTATTTATTTATTTAAAATATTTATCTATTATGGATATATTGTTCTGCCTGCATGTATGCCTGCCCGCCAGAAGAGGGCACCAGATATCATCACAGATGGTTGTGAGCCACCACGTGGTTGCTGGGAATTGAACTCAGGGCCTCTGGAAGAGCAGCCAGTGAGTGCTCTTAACCTCTGAGCCTTCTCTCCAGCCTGAAGCCACAACTTTTAATGTGTCTGAGGGAGATGGGGAAAAAAATAGCTGGTCTAGTACTGTCCTGGTCCCCATGGCGTGGAGAAGGTAAACATGTCACACAACAATGACAACTCAGGGGTATGGCAGAGGTAGGAGAGAGACCCCAACAGCCCACATGACGCTCCTGACCCAGCCTGAGGTAAGGGAAAGGCTTCCCGGAAGGGACCACACTAAAGCAGACAGTAGTTGTACAAGGAAGGGAAGGACAATCATGGACCCCTGGGTAGAGCGAGCAGCAGGGATGGAAGCCTGACGGTTTGGAGGGAGGACAGAAGTCTGAGTATTTGGAGATGGCGATTTAACTTAGGGCATGCGGAAGTGATTGGTGGCAATGCTAGAAAGCAACAGTCTGAGTGTGAGGGCAGCAGTGAGCCATAGCGGAATGTAAAGCACAGGAGAAGCCTTGAGTCCCAGCCTGTGCCTGTCTGTACTGGCCCTCTCCAGGTACAGTTCAGGTTCCGGGAGCTCAGCAGAAAACCCACCCCAGATGACCGAAGCTCACCGAGGACTGTTTCATTTCATTTGTTTGTTTACATATTTATTTGTTCTGGTTTTTTATTTGGTTGTTTTTTGTTTTGTTTTGTTTGAGACAAGTTCTCATTATGTAGTTCAGATTGGCTTGGAACTGTTCCTGGAGACCAGGCTGGCATTGAACTCACAGAGATCCTCCTGCTTCTGCCTCCCAAGTGCTGAGACTAAACGCGTGCCCCACCGCGCCTGGATCTGGCTTCTCTTCTTTGCCTTTCCGTCCTGGGTTTTTGCCCTTGTGGCCTCTGAACGGCGGCTGCACCTGCAAACATCAGGTCCACGGTCCTAGCAGGCTCAAAAAGAACTTAGGGGAGCCAGAAAGGGCAGGGTGTCGTTGAGCTTCCTTCCCGTTTTCACCTCTAATTTCTTTTTACTTGTGGTTGAGGAGGAAAGTTTGGTTCTTACAGAACCAAGAAACCGCAAAACCCACTTGGATAAGTACGAATTCAAGCCTTTCTTTCTTTGGCAAGCCTGCGGTTAAGTAAGTTAGAAAAGACACGATGGGATGTGATTGAGTCCTCCAGCCGGGTGGGCGGGGCATGCTCTGCCGCTACCACCACGCTGCCCTGCCTCTTAGAGGGAAAATTTGGGCACTTGTGGCTGGTTCTGGCAAGGGGTTTCAGGACTCAGCACCTGGCCTCGCCTGAGCTGCCTGCCTGGTGCCTGCTGGCCGCTGGCCACTGCCGTGTGTCAGAACCCTTCGAGCTACAACACCTGGCACACCTGGCCTGCTCTCTCTGTCTTCACTCACGGCCTCCTGCTTAGGTCATCTCAGGGTGTGGAGGGTTCCAGACACTTCTGTGTTTTTCAAATCACTGAGTGCTAAAAGCTGATCAGGCCACAGGAAGGGACAGGTTGGGCCTTTCTACAAAGCTCAGAAAATAAACACATACAGGACGCCTGTACCAAGAAAGGGTATTTCAGAATCTCTCCTTTCCTTTAGTCTCATCACCAGGGAGAGAGGGGGGGGGTAGAGTGGAAGGGAGGGAGGGAGGGAGACCTGCTGTTGCAAAGGATTTTGGGAAAGTATGTATTTTAGCATAGGTAGAAGCGGGGGATTCTGGGAGAGTGCATATTTTTATCCGAGGATGTGGCTGTTGCTAACCTCAAGGGATTCTGGGAGCTTGGATAATTTTAGCTGGGTGTTTGTCTCTGTCTTGCTCCTGGAGACTCTGGGAAAGCCAGGGTGTTTAGCCAACTGCAGAATCTTAGCATTCGTTTTGTTGGTGGTGCTGGGGAACAGAACTCAGAACCTGTCACATGCTAGGCAGGCAGTCTACCTCTGAGCCGAAGGCCCATGTCACTGCAGTGACTCCCCCCAAAAGTGAGTATTTCTAGCTGTCCATATGGCTGTCCATGGCTGTGGAGAACTTTTGGGGAAATGACTATTTTTAGTTCAAGACATGGCCATCTCTAGCAGCCAGAGTTTGTGAGACACTGAGTACTTTTAGCAAGGGATATATGGCCTACTCAGGCTTTGAGAGGCCCTGCAAAAGTAAATGGATTTATCTGTGTCCAACACTCCCTTGGCTACAAGGGATGCTGGGAAAGTAAACATACATACCTGTATCCAACTCTCTTAGCTGCAAGGTATTCTGGAAAGTAAATGTGTTTACCTGGTCCCAACACTCCCTTAGCCCCTAGGAGTGCTCAGAAAGTAAGTATATGTACCTCTCTCTTAGCTGCAAGGGATTCTGGAAAGTTCAGTGTGTTTACCTAGTCCCAGCACTCCCTTAAGCCTCAGGGATGCTGGGAAAGTAAGTATCCAACATTTGGGAAAACTGAATTTACTTAAGCTCCATATCCTCTTAGCTGCAAATCTGAAAGCAAATAAGCTTCCTTCAGTCCAATACTCTTAGCTGCTGGGAATTCTGGGAAATTACATTTACCTGGGCCCAACATTCTCTTAGCTGCAAGGGATTCTGAGAAAATAAGTATATTCCTCTCAGACCGACATTCTCTTAGCTGGTAGGCATGCTGGGAAAGCAGTTCATTTGGAGCTGTCTGGAAGCATAACACAATGGAGCTGTGTAAGCAAGGAAGTCTGAGGCATGGCGTGTGCCCCAGCTGGGTCGTGTGCCCACAGGGGATGAGGAGGAGGAGGAGGACGGGTCTCGGGAAGAGCGGCTGCCATCCTGCTTTGACTACGTGATGCACTTCCTGACGGTGTTCTGGAAGGTTCTGTTCGCCTGTGTTCCTCCCACGGAGTACTGCCACGGCTGGGCCTGCTTCGGTGTCTGCATTCTGGTGATTGGCCTACTCACCGCCCTCATCGGAGACCTAGCCTCTCACTTTGGGTGCACTGTGGGCCTCAAGGATTCAGTCAACGCCGTGGTCTTCGTGGCCCTGGGCACCTCCATCCCTGGTAACACCCGGGGAGATGGCTCTACAGGAAAATAGAAGAGGGCCTGGGAGGGGCCTTATGGGTGCAGAGTGTGGGCTGACCCTGCCCCAGAGCAAGCAGGGCAGGGCCATGGAGGACTAATGTGATAGGAAACATTAGAAAGTACACTTGGGCTCCATAAGAAGGGGTGGGGGTGGATCCATAGAGACAGGTCCTCCCCAGATGATTTCACCCATACACATAGTAGGTGGTGATGATTCTGGGTGATGATTCTGAGAGGTGTGTGTGTGTGTGTGTGTGTGTGTGTGTGTGTAGATCGGAGAGCAGCTTGAGGGAGCCATTTCTTCTTCCTCCACCTTGTGAGTTTCAGGAATTAGACTCGAGTCATCAAGCTTGGTGGCAAGTCCCTTTACCTGCTGAGCCATCTTGCCTGCGCAATGCCCAGCCTTTTACACGAACACAGGGATTTGAACTCATGCTATACCCAGGGAGCCATCCCACTTGCTTATTGGTTTGGGTTTTTGTTGTTGTTGTGGGTTTTTTGTTTTGTTTTGTTTTTGTAATGGGTCTCAGGCATCCCAGGCTGGACTCAAAATCACTATGTACCAGAGTCTGGCCTCGAGTTCTCACACCTTGCCTCCACCTCCAAGAACCTGGATTACAGGTGTGGGCCACCGCACCTTTGTGTGTGTGTGTGTGTGTGTGTGTGTGTGTGTGTGTGTGTTTTGTTTTTTGAGATAGGGCCTCAGTCTATCTCAGATGCACTGGGTTTGGCTATGTAACCCAGGCTAGCCCCAGACTCATGGTCCTCCCAAGTGCTAGGATTGCAGGTGAGCATACCACCCCGGCTGAATCTGGGTTTTAACTCAGATGCCAGTATGAGTTTGGCCAGTGAGGGTGAACGTCCCACAGAAATGGGGCAGTGTCCTGTGTCCTGTCGGAAGGCCATGGCCACTATCAAATCAACCCCATCATGACAAGGTGGGAGAGACCCTGTTTCTTCATCAGCAGGAAGGGTTCCTTTCCAGAGCAGGTGTATCGGGGAGAGGGCTGGACAGCAGCAGGCCCTCTAAAATTAAAGAATGGACCCCAATAGAACAGCACAATGCCAACCTTTTTGCACAAGAGACTCCCAAGAAATGTTCTACAGACAGTGGAGCCTACTGCATGCAGACAGATCCCCACAGGAAGTAGGTGAGGGCTCGGGGGCCTCTCTCACCCCTTGCCTCTTGTTCTTGTAGACACCTTCGCCAGCAAGGTGGCCGCGCTGCAGGACCAGTGCGCTGATGCGTCCATCGGCAATGTGACCGGCTCCAACGCGGTGAACGTGTTCCTGGGTCTGGGTGTGGCCTGGTCGGTGGCCGCGGTGTACTGGGCGGTGCAGGGCCGCCCCTTCGAGGTGCGTACGGGCACGCTGGCCTTCTCGGTCACTCTCTTCACCGTCTTCGCCTTCGTGGGCATCGCAGTGCTGTTGTACAGACGCCGGCCACACATCGGCGGCGAGCTGGGCGGCCCGCGGGGACCCAAGCTGGCCACCACCGCCCTCTTCCTGGGTCTCTGGTTCCTCTATATTCTCTTCGCCAGCCTTGAGGCTTACTGCCACATCCGGGGCTTCTAGGGCCCTAGCCACCGCCCTGGTGGTGGGGACTCGGCGGCCAGCCGGCATTAGCTCTTGGACCCACCCCTGTCTCTCTGTCCAGACTCAGCCTGGGCCCCCTGGGACTCCTCTCCTGGGCTCCCTCCTCGCCAGCCCTCTGCCTGGGATCAGCCTCCCTTCCCGCCTGGATCCCATTCCTCGATCTCCCTTCTTCCCCTCCAGCCTTGTAAGTTACATCTGAAAGCCGAAGCCAGGCACCCACACACTAGACACTACCTTCTCTGCCTCCCTGGACACCCAGCCTGACTCTGTCCCCTCCTCCAGCCACAGCCCTCTATGTCCCGGGCCTTAGAACATCTCCCCAGGTACCTCAGAGGGAGGCTGTGCCATCCCAGGATGCCACCCATCCCCACCCTTACCCCCAACCCTCAGGGAGCCCCCTGCAGTCCCCAGGGGAATGAGTAAGTGGGGTGTGTGCAAGAAGCGGGGAGGGCATGCACCTTTCCCGACTTCCCCACTCAGAGGCTTGGAGAGGGAGGAGGGACGTTTGGAGTTTCTGTCCCCCAGGCTCAGCTGGAGGAGACACATCTTGAACCCACCACTTCTGACATTCCAGCGCCCTACCTGCCCTCCACTACCTCTGAGAGCCCAGCCATGCCTTGGAGGGAGGGGCCTGTGTGTGTGTGTGTGTGTGTGTGTGTGTGTGTATGTGTATATAGTGTGTTTGGGGGAGGGGGGACACGGGAGGGTGCATGTCTTGGGGGAAGGGGCGTCGACAGACTTTCCCTTTTCGAGAGGGGCAGCAAGACTCACTCAGCCTTGAGAATCTGTGTAGTGGAGGAGACTGAAGATCAAAGGGAATCCTCCCCTGACAATATTCTAGAAGGTTTGATGAAAATACTCTAGAAGGTTCATTTTTGCCCTCAGTGCCAGCCAACCCGGGCAGGACCCTCGAAGAGGAGACCGAGGGTCCCAGAGGACCAATGCTACAAGCCAGCAAATGCTGCCACATCTCTGCCTGTTGGGGGGCGGGGGTGGAAGGGAGGGTGGGTGGGGTCTGGGTGGGCGTTTTTAACTTTGCAGGCCGTACATCTGTTGGTAGGCCACCTGAATTTTCTTACTGTTGATGTTTTCTTGGGGCGTGGGGAGTGCTGCACACTCCTTGTAGACCTTACCACCTCCATAACCTGCTTCCCCTAAGTTATTACTGTTATTATTTTTGCATTTTCTCGTCCAGTTGTGCATCGGACCCATTACCCCCTGCCCTTCTTACCCCAGACTCATCGGCATCACTCGCTGTCCCTTCTCTGTGATTTCTGTAAAAATTGCCATAAAACTTTGAAATTCTGCCTGAACAGTCTGCCCGTGGGAAGTTGGGTGCAAAAGGAGAGGGTTGATAGCAGCTCCGACATCTAGGGAATAGGGACAGACCAGGTAGCTTGCCTATGCTTCAGGGTGTGGCCAGATAGCCAGGTACCAGCATGGAGTCATGAGAATATTCACTAGCCACGCCCCTGTCCAGCAACCATAGGCTTCTAGTAGCCACACCTCACACATCAGGCATGAGCTCCACCTTTCAGCCAAGAGTTTCCACTAGCCACGCCCCTGCCCATCAGCCGTAGGCTTCTTGTACCATCAGTCCCGAGCCTAACCCTGATTGCCACGCCCTCTTACTAGCTCTGAGCTTCTGCTGGCCACACCCCTCTCACCAGCCATTCACTTTTCCTCTTCTTGGGTAAAGGAGCTGAGGTTGATGGAGTTTCCTAAATAAAACAGTCCACTTTCTTAGAGTCACGGAACAGGAGGGATGCGCGTACATTTGCTTGTGCACAAGGGTGGGTTTCAGGGAATGAGCACAGTAGATTTTTCAGGTTGCAACAAGGGATGAACAGGAAAGGAAGACGTGCTTCCTGCATTGGGTGGGAAGCAGAACCTCAGGACCAATTATAAGAAACTTTAGCGACCACACCAAGGAAGCCTAGTATTTAAAAGCAAGAGAATGCTTTATAAGAGATTTAAAAGGAGCAAACCAGCAAATTGACGTCAGCTGATTTATATATTTTTATATGTGTATGTGTCCCGGAGTGTATGTTTGCGAATCGTGTTTATGCAGTACCTGCCAATGCCAGAAGGGGGCTTTAAATCCCTGGAACCGGATTTACAGGCAGTTAGTTGTGAGCTACAGTATGGATGCTGGGAACTGAACCCCTGGCCTCTGCAGGAGCAGCCAGGACTCTTAATTAAGCCCCAAGCCGGCTCCCCAGCCTGTTTCATATTTGTAAGTATTCTGACTGGAAACCCAGTGACTCCGGCAGGAGAAAGGGAGTTCGAGGCTGGGTTGCGGGATGAGAAGCGGGTAAATGAGATGGCGAATCAGGGAGGAGAGAAGGCTCAGGAAGACCTGGAAAGAGGTGGCGATTGAGACAGAGGGGAATTTCGGGAAGGGACCTTGGAGTGACCAGATTAGGGACGAGGAAGGTGCAGTGCTACCCAGCTGGGACGTGCGGGGGGGGGGGGGGTGAGTGGAGGCTGCAGTGGCCACAGCTGTGCTGAGTGTAGTGTAGGGTGAAGCACACTGGGAGGTGGAGGGAAGAGGCTCCGAATATCCTGTCTAACCTACTTAAGAAACTTTCCGATTTTGGTTTTTGTTTTGTTTTTGTTTATCTGGTTGTTGTTGCTTGGTGGTGGTGGATTTTCAAAACAGGGTTTCTCTGCGTAGCCCTGGCCATCCTTGAAATCACTCTGTAGAAAAGGCTGGCCTTGAACTCAGGGATCCATCAGTCTCTGACCTGAGTGCTGGATTAAAGGCGTGCATCACCACCACTGGCAAGAACCTCTCTGTCTCTATCTGTCAACATTTATTTATTTATTTATTTATTTATTTATTATGTATTCAGTATTCAGCTTGCATGTATGTTTGATGCCAGAAGAAGGTGCCAGATCTCATTACAGATGGTAGAGCCACCATGTGGTTGCTGGGAATTGAACTCAGGACCTCTGGAAGAGCAGGCAGTGCTCTTAACCACTGAGCAATCTCTCCAGCTCCAAGAATCTCAATCTCTCTCTCTCTCTCTCTCTCTCTCTCTCTCTCTCTCTCTCTCTCATGAAAACATTTGAGCTTTGACTTTGCTGGAAGAAGCTTGATGAGGTCTGAGTCGGGGTAGAAAGCACAGAGACAGAACCAGCTTAATCTGGAATGAGTAGAGCCTGGAAACTGAGTCTAGGTGCACAGGCTGCACTTTAGAAAATCTGGAGAGGGAGGGGAGTAGTTGCAGGTGGCTGGCATTGGACGGCTCAGTCTCCTTAAACCCACCAGCAGCCATTCCACAGAATGGAAACCGAGGCTCAGAGAGAAACAGCAGTTTACCCGAGCTGTCATGGTGAGGGAGGGTGGGAATGAGGCCCGGAATTCAGAGCAACAAGGAACAGCTCCATGGTAGCAGGAATGAATGAGTACAGTGGAAATGTTCCAGAGGGACATGGTGAGTGAGGTTCATCCAGGCTCCTAAAAGGGAGTGGGGACTGGTTTGGGTCCAAAGGAAAGAACTTTGAGGGTACCTCAATGGTGGAGCCCCTGCCTAGCATCCCCCAGTGAGGGGCTGGGGGTGTGGCTCAATGGTGGAGCCCCTGCCTAGACTCCCCCAGTGAGGGGCTGGGGGCGTGGCCAAAAGGCAGAGAACTTGCCTAGTATGCAACAGGTTCCATCCCTAGCACCCTGAATCACAGCTGAATGTCTTTCTGGGAGGCAATGCCATCGCTGTCAAGTTTCTTCTTGCTCTGATGTTGGCTCTTCTCACCGTCCACACAGATGGGTCCCATCAGGGTCCTCTTCTGCAAGGTGCATATTTGGGACTCAGGACCCCACTGGGATCTGAGTCACATGCCAGAGACAGCAGAGGTTGGGAGAGTGAGTTTTAAGTGCTCTCTCTGGAAGCAAACTCCCTTCAGGCATTCTGAGTGTACATGAAAAAGGCAGCTTGACACGGAACAACAAGCAGCTGTGTGCTCTCGTCCCAGATGAGACTCGGGTCCGGAGAGACTCTGTCAAGATCACAAACCTTCCAAAAAAAAGTCTGTTTCCCACGAGCTCTCCAGCTTAAAACAACACAGACTTTCTTCAAAGTCTGTTGCTGGACTAAATCATGATGTTAGCTGGATTGCATTCCCAAGGGACTTGGGTTGGGGGATTTGTTTCAAAGATTCCAGAAGCTTCCATTGCTGCCTCCCCTGACTCCAGCCCCCTCCACTTCATGGCATCTGTCAGAGTACTGGCCAGTCTCTTTGTGACATTCTCTTAATTAAAAGGTCCCTGGTGGTAGCGCTTATGGCCCACCTGGATGGGTACTGTTTTCTCCTTATCCCCCAAATTTTAATTGGACACACCTACAGATTCTGTTGGGGTCAGGTTTGGTGACAGCCTCAGCTTCCACGGACTGTAGAGTGGACATCTGGAAGGAGGGGCGTTATTCAGCCTACCCCTGTCTCCACTGGGACTTAATGCAATGCATCTAAGGGCTCTCTCTCACCACACTCCTGCCGCCGAGCTCAGCCAAGCCAGACACCCGATGCGTGGCTGTTTTCTGGGATAGAAATGTGCACTGGTGGAGGAAGCAGGAGGACTCAGGGGCTGGGCAGAAGGCTCAGCAGCTAAGAGAATGCAGTTATCTAGCAGAGAACCCAAGTTTGGTTTACAGCCACCTGTGATTCCAGCTCTAGGGGACCTACCGCCCTCTTCTGGCCTCCACAGACATCTGCACTCGGATGCACATACGCATACACAGACACACACGTACATAGTTTATAATACAACAATTTTTTAAATTAGGGGCTGGTTAAGAGCACTTGTTGCCCTTGCAGAGGACTTCCCAGAACCCACATGGTGGCTCACAATAATCCATAACTCCTGTTACAGGGGATACATGCCCTCTTCTGACCCTCCCTGAGCACTAAGCTTACACGTGGTACACATACATGTACACTCATACATATAAAATAAACATAAACAAATTTGGTTTCATTTTGGTTTTTAAGACAGGGTCTCACTGTGGTAGCCCT